ACATCACAACCTTCTTCCAGGCTCCCAAAATTATCACACAATGATATTTTCAAAAACCTACCAAAGTATGATTCCAGTCAATCCCAGAGGTCTTCACTCAAAGAGAGAACCTCTATCACAAAATCCTTATCAATAATTTATCAGAGCTTCCCCTTCAACAAAACAGGTCATGACAAACTTGGCAGAAAATATAGAATTATCCTACTGACCACAAATAAAAATTTTAATTCATATTATTGCCGAACGACAGACATGAGCAGCTGTAATAATCTGTATTACAATTAGCGCTGGTTGTCGCTAACAATTTGCAGATTGATAATCAAAGGTCAATAATCCATCAATAATGAACTGTAATCATAAACCACACCACAGAACTTATGTGGGCTTCAACAGGACACAATCACAACATTGTGAAACGAAACAGGCATGGATTAATACTACAATGAAGATGATCAAAGATACTTCCTCTTGATGGATGAGTGAGTTTAGTTTTACGCAGCACTCAGCAATATTTCAGGCATATGGCGGCAGTCTGTAAATAATCGAGCCTGGACCAGACAATCCAGTGATCAACATGAGCATTGATCTACGCAATTGGGATACGATCACATGTGTCAACTAAGTCAGCGAGCTTGACCATCCGATCCCGTTAGTCGCCTCTTACGACAAGCATGGGTTACTAAACATCAATCTAACGCGGATCTTCACGGGTACTTCCTGTTGTGAAAAGCATGTGAGTTGCAATGTTATGAGTCAGGACACTGCATTTGTTGTTTTTGTCTTGATATAACAAACATAACAATGAAAAACATACTTCCTAAAGTTTCATTTGATGATTAATTTTTTAGGAACACTGATTAGTCTCCAGAGCCCATTGATAATCACTGACACAAGCAAGATCGATCGATTGACAGATTATTCGATCAGTCGCTCCAACACTAATTACAACACATTTCAAAACTGTGGAACAGAGAGGTTTCATATATTTTCCAGAGTCTTCAATAACATTTGATTAGATGCACGCAACATAGATGGTTTGTTTTTCTGAAGTTGCCTTTGGTACAGTTAATGAAATTACAAGTGATCTTATGAACTTTGGGCAAAAATATGCCACTAAAAGCACCATATTTTCCAGGAACTGCCAGGAATAGGAAGCCCTGGTATTGCAAACCTGTAGAATTAGGGACTTACAGCCTACCTACTTGTACATGTTGTAGATCCCTATCAACCAGGGAAAGACATTTCAACTATGTAAACATGCATTATAATAGGCTAGTTTCTCACCACTCCCTGTAATGAAGAGAGTTACTTTCATACTTGCTATGACATAAATAAATACACAGAACAGACAAGAGTTTCTAGACATGATTGCTCCTGTTGGTAGAATGTCTGAATAAATGGACAAGAGAATAGTTTACAAGTATTTACCAAGGTTTACCAATTATTCTTCAAGGTGCTGTAATTTCAAAGGTATGAAAATTGTAAAAATACACTAGCTCAAAATGTTTTCAAAATCATTAATTTATTACATCTATAAACACTGTAAGAAAATCTCAGCATCACTAAAACGAGAATGATGCGGTATTGCACTCAACATCATTGAAAAGTTTTCCTAAACACCAAATACTTGAGTGATATTTCCATTGTCTATATTTTGCCACTGTTTTGGGAGGCATTTGGCTGTCTACACTTCAATCTCATTAAAATTAGATCTTTCACTTTCTGCATAAAGATCCAATTCCTGGATCTCTTAAACAAACATATTCGGGGAATCCAGAATGCCAAATTCTAAGGCACTCAATTACACTGATCTGGGTAGTTTGTACATTATTCTTCCTGAGGAAGCAGTACCTGAAAGGAAGTAGTAGCAACAAGGCCACATTGTGTTCTGAAGCTATTTCTTTTGCCAAGAACGGAACTTCCTTGTCGAGGTGGTAAATAAAGGAAGCTGAATAACTTTAGAAAGTGGAAATCTGAATTGCTCAAGAACCACACTTCCTTTATTTTGATAGGTCAAATTTCACTCAGAGTTCAGGGTTCAGGGTCAATTTGGTGGTTTCACATCAATTTTCAACTCGTGTGCATGCACAGACCGTGTAAACAAATCCACTGGTCTATTTTCCGATTTGGTAGTATGTTTACCGATAGTGGAAACACACCATAAAGAAAAGCTCTTATTAAGATTATTTACGTGTGACAACAGTTTATAGCTGAGTATATACTTCCATTTGCCTATGGTTTTCAATAAATGATGTCCTATTTTGGTTACAATTGCCTTATAGATGTGGGTTTTTTTAGTTGTGCGAAGGGATGTGTGCGGGAAGGATGGTGGACCACGGTGGTGGTGAGATGTGTTTATACACGAGCATGTTAACAGAAATTTAGCTATTTATTTAATTTATCCGGCCTTTGTTTCATAAATAATTGAGAAACTTGCATTCGACATAAAAACATATATTTTTTTATTTTGTTTTCTTTAGAGTGTGTTTACACTATTGATAAACATACGACAAAACCGGAAATAGACCAGTTGAGTTTTTTACATGCTCAGCAAGTTGAAAATTAATGTGAAACCACCTAATGGCGGAGTCTGATCTTCATGCACAGTTATCGTATGAGAGTTATATCTGATCTGCATGAAACCACACACTGTTACTCTGCATCACTCACATCAACCCATCATTATTAAATGTGTATTTGTCCTTCTGTGGTATTGCCACATCCCATACGATTGTTCAATCTCACTAAAATCAGATCTCTTGATGTCACCTTAACAAGTCTCCTTCCAACCTCCCCAGGCAATGGAGAGAAGTGACTACATAAATCGAGTTTTCACGCTTGGCCAACTAATTTCAAATAAAGGAGTTATATTTTGGCAGTTGAAATAGTTGACAGTCCATTCAAAATCGCATTAAAAAGTCGACATCCGGTTCATAAAAAAACTTGCCAACTGCCATAGAGATATTGGTCAATTACAGGATTGCAGGACACTTGGTGTGAGCAGATATTGACTTAATTTTTGTTTTTAATCTTAAAGGAGATAAGATGTGTGACATAAGGTAGAGATCATTACAATCAGATCTTCTTGACTGGGTGAGCAGAAGAGGACGTAACATATACGTGAGACGTTCCCCCGTTACGCGTAGAAGTGACTACCTAAGAGGGGGTCACTCGTTTGCGTCACTGCCTGATCACAGATAGGGAAACTCTGCATGTTGCACAAAAACGCGACTAAAAGTGATATTCACGAAAATAATTAAACAAACTTTGCTGCAGTCATTGATAGATGTTTAAGCTATTGAATGACATGAGTGAAAACATAAAAAGAGAAAATTAAATAGCCAAATATTGGCAAAAATGTGCAAAATATAAGCAAAATTTGACAATAGTTAACAGCAAATTTCACCTATGTGCATATTTTTCAGAAACTTACATGTAGTATTTTCTGAAATCTCATTCATCGCATATCCAAAATATATATGCAGCTTTCGAGGCACACCAACACACGCCTGTTTGTTATTGTGTTGAAACATGTTTACTTTCTTCTAAACTGCGCGAACCGTCTCGCGTAGAAGTGTCTGGGGAAGCAAGTCATTAATGGGAGTTAACTGATGCCTGACTAAATTATTCAGTCAAAACATCCGTCTTGCGACTTGGACTGTCTGAAAAGTACGTAATATATATGGGGATATTTTTCTTGCGTTACAACAACAATTGGTGAACAAATATATACAAGATGGAACCTGATTGGTAAATTGGAAGGACATCCAATGGACAGAACTCATAACAGCAAATGGTTCTGCTACTGTTAAGTCATGACATTCACCAAAGCTACTTCAGCAAGGGTTGAAACGGGAAACAGCCCTCAGGAAGATGGTCTGTGTCAAGATCTATTAAACAGCCACCATACTCTATGGTTAATTAAGAAATACACCTGACAGACCTCAGTCCAGATCTAATTCCACAAAGTTGTGATCACAATGAGATTGGTGTTTCCATCATGTACACTAAATGTTTAACACCACATATAGGGCTGGGACGATTCACCACGATACATTTTAGTTTGATACAGCTATCGTTTTCAAAACAGTATTTTATCTTAAACATGTTTTAGTACTTATGTAGAGAAAAATATGCAAGTATGATAGAGTTACTTGTTTGTTTATTACAATAGTGTTATTGTTATACACAAATACTTCAAATAAATCATTTTAAACCTTAATACTGGGTCATTTTTTCAAGGTGTATGTATCGTGATACGTATCGTATTGCAGGTAAAATATCACGATATGTATCGTATCGTGACATAGTGTATCGTCCCAGCCCTAATAACATATGCCTACTGCATTGGCAATCCTTGCTTTCTCAAAAGTCTTGATGCAAGTAGGAATCTTACTGGAACTTACTATCATGATTACATTGCAGATATATACTGATTCATTTGACTCTTTACTAGAGCTGTGATATATGTCTATACTGTTATCTGATAAATATATCGAACACATTAGATATTGATGGTTATGTCAAAATTTCTTGCTATTAAAATATGATTTTTAAGGAAAATAACTGAAAGCATATCGTGATATGCATCATATCGTGATATCGCGTACGTTATCTATCGTGATTCTGTATCGTCCACCTCTACAGTCTTGATGATTGTCAGTGTCATTGGAAACACTGAACTGTGTACTTAATGTCCTTTAATTTGATGATCTAGTGTATTAATGTCACAGTGTCACTGTCCACAAAGCAATGTTAGCTCTAAGATTACCATTAGCCCATGTTCAGGTATGGCAGCTACAACAGGTGACACGCTAAGATCACTTTGTGGGATAAATACCTTGGGTATTTGTAACTGTACAATATATACATCATGAAACCAGCGGAAGTACGACAATAGCCAATTTCCCTTGCTTGCATTATCAAAAACTGATGATTTTCCTTCTGAACATAATAGTCCTGGGGCTCCTTTCACGAAGCAACCTTAACACCCATTCTTTAACATAGCACTAAGGTTACCTTAGAGACTTACGATCACCTTAGTGCTTTGTGAAAGGAGGCCCTGTACTGTCAGGCTCACTGAACACACTGGAAAAAAATATTACCATTGCACCTTTTTCCTTGGTACAGTGCTACTGGTCTTTGTTTACACAAGTTGATCAAGCCTTTATGACAGCGTCTTTTTTCTTGGTATCCTGTCAAATACTCTGTGATAATTACAAGCAAAACTCGCATCACCCTCATTTTAAACATGAATATTCACTCAGCTGCTTATACCTGACAAACAATTCAGTGTTTCGAGTTTGGTATGTCATGGGGTAGAGCTACCCGCACTTCATCGTCAATCATCAGGCCAATCACCGAACGCCACATTAATTTGGGAATACCTTAATTTCATAATCTGCAGTAATCGGTAACCTTGGCAATGACCTGATTATATTTGAAGACTGCAGTTTGCAATGCACCATGGTCATCATTGCAATGCACCATGGTCCATCCTCAATCATAATTGGTCTAAGTTCATATCTGATCGTTGCAAAGGCTGAACTAAACTGTTTTTCAGTCACCAAATTGGAAATTATTCTTGAGTTCAAAGTCGTGCCAACATTTTCTCCATTAGCCTTCTGGCGATTCACACACCTTCATGAGAAGGTCTCGACGTCTAGCAAGAGGTACTCTTTCAGCGTGGTCGGTAAAGGCAGTGTTGGGACTTTCCGTAACCTCTGACCTCCAAGTGTTTGTCGTATTACATACCGACAACAGTGTTGAAGTGTTCTCGGATCACGACAAAATGAACGGTACCATTCGTATTTCGACACTCCTGATGGGGATGCATTTTCATTCCTGTTATACCCCTGCTGGGATGGGTTGCTGGCACACATTGTCGGACACAGGAGTTCAAGACTTGGCAGTTTCAAGGAACAGTTTACTATGGAATCCAGAATCGCTCGCTCTGCCTTCTGGTTTCGAAGTTCTTGCTGTAGGAGGCTGTCACCAGCTTTGTTCTTGATGTGGAAGTCTGCACCGTAGGCGATGAGGAATGCCGCAGCATCTGGTCGCCGTTCCTGATTGGAGTGATCGTTGAAGCACACATAATGGAGGGGACTGCTTCCTGCAACAAACATCACTATGTCAGCAGCTATCGGACAGATCAATGTATTTCAACATAAATCCCACTTCTTACGTTGTCTGAAACAAAAGACTGATGAAAACCAATTCTATACCCATTCTCAGCTTTCCCGTCTGAAACAACAGATTGATGGGGGACCAATTCTACCCCTCTTCTAACCCAGTTTTCATATGGTCTAAAAACAACTTAAAAGCAGAGGAGAATCTAAAATCCGGTCTCACATGGTCTGAAACAATAACATTTTGTTGAAAACTTTCAGATGTTTGACTTAGTAATTTAGTATGCATAAGTAGACAGTGCAGCAATCAAAATGAACTTACCCCCAGGTCTATTCAACCAACCCCCCAATTTTCCAAACTGCTGCTGCTGAGTCTCCATCAAAGCACCGTGCAAAGATCAAATTGTTACAAGACTATTCCTACATTTCCCAGGGCTACAGATAAGGGGCGTACAGGCGTAATGTACGCCTCAAAATCAATTAAGTACGACATAATATAAGATTTCAAGAGTATCGTGTACGCACATAAATACCTTTGTACGTCTAACATTTAATTTCCGTGCGTATCGTGCAAATGGAAATCTATTTTGATAAATACTTGTCAAGTTTCTTTTGCGAAACACGATTTGACACATGAGGAAACCCCGACAGTAGGAATCACTTGCGTTGCCATGCAACGATATGCGTCACTATTTTTCAATTGGCTAAAAACTACTGTTCCTATTTATATCCAGTCGGACCTGACATTTCGCGCATCACACGGTCGCTCAGTTATTTCTCACACGTCTTCAAATACAAATACATGGTTGGAAATAGTGATCGATGAATCGTTCAGACAAACCACATCACCAACTTGCTCACACAAAAACATGTCAGTACTCCTTCAAAATTCTCAGTACACCTCCACTTGCAATATGATGTGTAAGTACACTCGCACCCCCAAAAGTTATCTGGAGCCCTGTTTCCTACAGTTGATAACCTGTACTGACCTTGCTTGTCTGCCAGATTCACGTCTGTGTTATATCCCTTTGTCGTCAGATCTCGGAGAATTCTTTTGGAGTATTTTTCCCCTGAGACAACTGCAAGGTGGAGGGCACTCATTCCAGCGTCGTTGCGATGGTTGACGTCTGAGCCATGTTCCAGGAGGGAGGCAACGCACGAAGACAAACCATGGCGGACACACTCATGGAGGGGTGTTTCATCTGAGATGCAAGGAAACAGCTGTCAGTAGAATTACCAAGTACGAAAATCCTTCACAAAAGATATGTTCTATTAAGTGTCGAACTCAAATCCCTGACCATAAACGCAAACTTGGGTGTATCCTACAGAGCCACAGAACAGACATATAATCAATATTCCACTAGTTATCTGGTAAGTTTAGCAACGTCAGCAGGATAACATTACTGTAAGACCACTAGATGTAGTGGTTACCAGTGAATACACTGGAGTTTCCATCTCATTTGATGTAGCTCAAAAAGACAAACGACAAAAATATATAAAGAGGTGAGGTGAGGTGAAATTGGGTTTAACGTCGTGCTTGAGAATATTTCGCTCATATGACGACGTGCATGCGTGTGTATGTGTATGTGCGGCTGCTTGTACTAGCCCAGACTTAAGCTGGTTTTATAGTGCTAGCCCACTGAGATACCATGCCGCAGTGAAGCATGAATACCCCACTCAGACACAGTATACTGACTCCGAGCCGACCAGTCCTTGTTCTACCCATTAATGCCGAACGCCAAGCAGGGACCAACAAGTACCATATTTTAACGTCTTTTGGTATGACGCTGTCAGGGGATTGAACCTCGACCTTTCGCTCTCCGGGCGGACGCTCTAACCACTACACCATGGAGGCGGTCAAATAATATAAAAAGATGTATGTAGTAAGTTGACTTCTTGATTGTTATTAGGATTTTGTTTATTTGTTTGTTGTTTAGCACCACACTCAGCAATATTCCTGCAGCATGGCGGCAACTTGTAAATAATCAAGTCTGGACCAGACAATCCAGTGATCAACAGCATGAGCATCGATCTACGCATTGGGATACAATGACATGTGTCAACTAAGTCAGCGAGTCTGACTACCTGATCCCGTTAGTCGCCTCTTACAACAAGAATAAGTTGCTGTAGACCAATTCTATTCTGGATTTCATGGGTCACCTATCTTGTTACTTAGTCGCCTCTTATGACAAGCATGGGTTGGTGAAGACCAATCTAACCCAGGACTTCACTGCAACAGTGAGACTGCTGACACTTCCCCTTACTTGTGTCTTTGACTGGTATAGACAGGATGTCCATGCGTATTGCATTGTTCAGATGTTGATGCACACACTCTGTGAAGCCGTTCTGTGCAGCGATGTACAAACTGGTGCGGCCGTACTCGTCCACAGCATTGTAGTCTGCACCGTACCAGATGAGTTCCACTGTACACTTGACGTGGTTGTTAGTGGCGGCGAGGTGGAGAGCCGTCGTCCCACCAGGATGAGGTGTGGCTGAAACACCGGATGAACATGGTAAGATATACAGCGAAACTTTTCAACTTCAAAACTGGCAGTTTATGATGTTACCATGGATTCTTGGACACCATAAAAATTGCTGACCATTGTGCAACAAAGACACATAGGAGGTAAAACATATAAGTCAGGAACACTAAAAGCAGTGTGTAAAGCTCACAAACTTCCAAGCCAGACAGCTGGACTGGTAACTTTAAAAAATTACCAGTTCGGATACAAACTTGCCTGTCCAGTTTTCAACAATAAACTGAAATTACACAAGTTGTGATTGGTTATCGTAACATGAACTGTCCAATCGTAAGTAGTTTAACATAATGTTCATAACACCTCAAACTGACGACAAGAGATAAATAGAGAATACTACGCAAGGTCTCATTACATAAGAATTATACGAAACGAGTGTCCTTCCTATGGTATCTTGACCGAGCGAAAGCTAGGTCAGATATCATAGGAAGGTCACGAGTTTCGTATAATTCGTATGTAATGAGACCGAGTGTGGTATTTTATTTATTACCCACGTCTAACATGCATTAAATTGACAAAATAGCGTATTTTTGTTGTTTTTGGTTTCAAACCGAAACCGGTTTCATAAAGAGGTTGCGGAAGAGTTGTGTACTGTAGTACAATATTTGTATGACGTCACACTGTAATGACGTCACTGCCTTGGTAACCGACGTCACGATGCATGTCAGTTGTCATCGCCTCGTACAGCCTCCTACAGTAAACTACTCCGTAGCACCTCGTTTCTTGGTTTTCAGTTGCTTCATTCGGCTAACATCATTGGTGGAAACATTGCGTTTATGTTTTTCGACGGATATAATGTCTCAGTTCGACTCACAATTAAACAACGACACGGCAACGTTCGCAATGTTTACATTCCCACAATGCATTTAAGTTGTAGAATGAATGAATTCACGTCTTTGTTATGAATGAAAAAATAGTTACGTCAGAATGTGACCTAATTGAGAGGTCATCGGTTATCCAATCAAATCGTTATAATCTCAGGTCATGTCGTTACGACACAGGTCAACGCGATACGACACTCGTGTGACGTATGAGATTAGTATGCAACTACCCATACGTTGACCTCATGGGTAATAATGTCTGATATTATGAAATATTTAATGTTAGGGGTAAAAATATCTACCAGACCACCGGACAGGCTACTTTTGAAATTTGACCGTCCGAGATGAAAATAAACCGTTCCGGGCGGTCGGGCAGGCGGGAATTTTAAACGCTCCTAAAAGTCAAAGTAAAACTAAATCTGACACGATAGACGTAGGTTGTTGTTTTTTAGTTTTACGCCGCTTTTAGCAATATTCCAGCAACATCACGGCCGGGGACACCAGAAATGGGCTTCACACATTGTGCCCATGTGGGGAATCGAACCCGGGTCTTCGGCGTGACGAGCCAACGCTTTAACCACTAGGCTACCCCACCGCCGATAGACGTGAGTGCAATACAAAATTTTCATGATTACATTTCATTCTTGGTATTGCTGGTATTGACATATCGACTTCCACATTCAGTCTCAGATATAAATCCAGACCACCCAAGAATATTATATGGTAGTTCTGGCATCTTCCATAACATAATCATGTGGTGATGGGGAGAACCAAGTAAACATTCGTTCATTATGCCGAAGACCTGAGCTCACTTCCCCACATGGGGACAATGTGTGCAGTCCATTTCTGGTGTCCCCTGCCATGATAATATGGAATGCATGAGCATCGATCTGCACAATTGGGAACCGATGACACGTGTCAACACATGGGGACAATGTGTGCAGTCCATTTCTGGTGTCCCCTGCCATGATATGGAATGCATGAGCATCGATCTGCGCAATTGGGAACCGATGACATGTGTCAACCAAGCCAGCGAGCCTGACCACCCAATCCCGTTTACTACCTCTTACGACAAGCATGGGTTAGTGAAGGTACATTCTAACCCGGACCTTCACGGGTCAAATATAAAATGATCTTTGCCTCCTTCATAGTTAGAGGTCTATTATTGTACACTGATAATAAATAAGTGAAGGTTCTGGTGTTGTTAATGATCATGACCACTGTGAATCAGAGCTCCAGATAAGATTTAGCTCGTGTGGGTACTGTACCCACTGTATTTTTGGGAGTGGGTATTATGAATGTTGAGTGGGTATTTCATTTTCCGTTACCCACTGCTTTCAAATATGTGCGTATTTCAGTCCTTTTACTCACCTAAGTATTATGTCATTGAGTAAGTTTACTAAGCAGGTATGTTCTGCCTTATGTCATACCTAATCAAAACCAACTTAAATATAATGGAAATGATTTCATAAAAAATCACTCATCCTATACTGACAGTACAACACTTGTCCTATACTAACAGTACAACTTGATAGCAATCGATGTCTTTTTCATTACGCAAGCGATTTTTATAAATATATTTAATATACATTTGTCTTAAACTTTTTGCGTATCTAACATTTTAAATGCGTAATTGGTACGCAACAATTATTTAGCAATGTGTAATTGGAAATTTTCTATGTGTATTTTACCCGGATACACAGCTTATCTAGGCCTCTGGTGAATAGTGAAATGACATGAAGTAAACATGGCAACCAATCAGCATGACCAGCTATCTAAGCCTATATTTATATTTGTGACACTCACCAGTGTAGGATCCATATTTCGAGTATTTTGTGCTGACATTGCAATCTGCTCCACCCTCCAGTAAATGTTGAAGACATTCCAGGTGACCCTTCTCAGCAGCCATGTGCACAGCTGTCACATCAAAGCGATCTTTGGCATTGACATCCGCTGTAATAATCATGTTTTGTTAGGGAACGAGAAATGCAGTATTGTACTCATTTACATACTAATTTTAGTACGTTTCGACATTAGAATTTTAGGACGTTTCGACATAGGTTCTAATGTCGTTGTCACTTGCTTGACAACGGCATTAGAACCTATGTCGAAACATCGCCACCACAGAATAAAAGAAGTTGTATATCCATAATAATTGTCATTATTCTTCATCAACTCAACTTCTAAAATGCCCAGAAAAGAAGTAATTTTAGTAACTTTAAATTAAGGGGAAAATGTTGTTTTATGTCAGTAACATTTTGATGACTACTGTGCCTTGACTGAAAGACTATATATTGTTATAGTTGTAATATTTTCCACCCTTCCCATTTGTACTTTAAATTACATCTTGAATGTGAAGAATTTTACAAACACAGAACGTTGATAAACATTGGATATTGAACCTGTATACTTATCATTAGAATTTTAAATGTTATCGGCGAACATGGTGAAGATCCTGATCAAATACGTGTTGGTATGATCCTAATCCCAGGCATTCCAGATTGAGTACATTAAAATCTAAAGTACATCAAATAATGCAGAATGGTGGGAAAGCTCACATTTCTGTCAAGTTGATATTTACATCCAGCTATGGTCATGTAAGTTTCAAATCGAATCACAGAATTACATACTATGACCTTAGCAAACATTGTAAACCCAATGTCAACGCTAGTAGTAAAACATTCTGGGTAGTTACTAGTATTAGCATGATTATACTCCATGATCATGCCAGAAGAGGATGACTGGTCCTATATACCAGTCCGAAATACCAATGTCAAATCAAGGGCCATTATAAGTATGCTCAGTAACTGCAACGTTTCTGACATTTATACTCGTGCTGTCAAGTGCACCTAGCCTTATGTGTCTTCCTTTACTTTATGCTATGAGTCTCTGAGGACATGAGTAAATCAGGAGTAGATGAACCCGGTAGTTAGCCTAAACAGAAAACTTTACATGGTGTATGTTTCCATTCAGATGTTAGCCTATCTCTACTCTACATATACATACATATATAGTAACATAACATACATAATATAGTATAGTATAGTATACATAACGACAAATCGCAGCAAAACCATACCAGAGTGATCAATTAAAGTTGCCACAACTTTAGGGAAGTTCAACTTCACAGACAACTGAAGAGGGGTTAGATAATTCTTTGATGCATAGAACAAGCTCCTGTTGTATTCCGTGGCATCCGGCGATGCACCCTCATTCAGCAGATCCGTTACAGATTTTTCATCGCCGGCTTTAACCGAATCGATCAGCTTTTTGTCCTGTTCGATCTCTTTTTCCAGCGCTTCCGCACTCTTTTTCCATCTGAAATTCGCCATGTTGACTGTAGGTGCTTGTTAAAAATTGTGGAACGGATGTTGCGGAAACGGATTGCAAAATTTCAAAATAAAATAAAAATCAGAAATTCGAAATATGTTTTTGAACACAGAAACGAAAATAAAGCGATTTGGGGCTTGTTTGCTTTTTTGTTTCAAACGAAAAAAACAATATCCGGTAATCCACAATGTCGTAATTATGATATTTTAACAAGTAATATAAGGAATTATTTTTTAAGTAGAATTTTAGGCTGTCTATAAAAATACTTGTAAGAGATTATCAAAATTCATCTTTAGTGTAGAATACACACTAAAATCCTTTTCGTGTAATACTGCATTCCGACATTGTTCCAGCTGGACAATGTTGGTCTATAAACAATTTGATCTGGACCAGACAATCCAATGACTAACGATCTATATGCACCTGAGATACGTTGACTATATAATTGAGTACTGACGACCAGTTCTAAACCGTATTTACACGGGGGGTAATATGCATATGGTTCTATATGATCTGATAATTGAGAGGGGGTTATACTTTAAAATCACATTTCGGCTTCATGAATCGAGCTTAGGGACCGTTCATAATTTATGGCTAAGGGGAGTGGGTTTGATGATGACTTTAAGTGTGTGTGTGTGTGTCCACTCATTTTGTTCTGGGGAGCTAGGGGGCGTCAGCAATTTTGTACATAAAACTATGTTTAAAATTATGCTAAGAAATTATGGGAAGGGGAAGAGGGTAATTGATTTTGCACATGACATGCAGGGTACATAAATTTGGGGGCGGGGGAAGGGGGCATTAACATTGTACATGCTTCGCCATAAAATCGTCATCATACACACACCCCACCCCAAGCCATAAATTATGAACGGTCCTTTAAGAGGTGTGGGTGGGTGGGTGCGTGCATCAGTCTACACACTTAGAGTGATAGACTAACGCTTAGTATCTGAATATATATATAATTTTTTATAGTAACCAAGAAGCCCATTTGAATTGAAAAGGAGACCCAAGAAGACCAGAGATTCCTGAACCTGTGGAAATCATACTGACCTGCTTCATTTAGGGCTTTAGCATTCCAGAGAAGGCTTCGCAGTAGGGAATATAATGTGGTTCAGGGACTGTGGGACAGACTATTAGAGAAAGTGAGCATACATTTACCCCGCTGTTAGTCAAATTGCATCAATATGGTCTTAGGGGACACCAGTAACTGTTTAACACTCAGCAGTGTTCACGAATAGCGTCTGACCCTCTGACAAATCTGGCAGATTCGCCAAGGATCAGACAGAAGTCTACAACCCGCCGGCCCCAGTGTCTGACTGTATATTTCACCATGACTTTGACTGAAGTTGTTTTATGTGACATGTGACACTTGTTTGCTGTTTATAAATGTTATATTTGTTAATAATTTCAATGTCAATTATAAGAAATATTAAATCTGAAATGTGTGTTTAATTTTATTCCATGGGTCCTGTGCATTTTCAATGGGTCAGACAGACATCTGAAACTTACAGGACCCAATGTCCTGTGACTTTGAAACACCATTCGTGAACTCTGACTCAGCGAATATTTTACAGAGCGAATAGCCTACAATGAATTGGGAATTTGCCGTCACGGTGTCACCAAGGGAATTTAGTTGGAAGTCTCAAGTCATGGCAACAGTACTTCATGAGTGACAACCAATTCGTTCATTTATATTATTTCAAATGCGCAGTCTTTACTTCTAAGAAAAAGAAAACACAAGCTTGGTTTCCTAAGTACAATGGAATCAGTGGTTCATAATGCTGAACGTGACACCATGAACACCGGATAACACCATCGTGAATCATTTGCGACAATGCTTTGATATGTTATCATGGTGACCGCTATGTTCTGACTTGCAAAAAACTTGCAACAACATGTAATGAATTTCTTCCAATCTTACTATTTTCTAAAAGTTTGGCCCTTTTGACTTTAATCTATGGCCCTTTTGACTTTAATCTATGGCCCTTTTGACTTTAATCTATGGCCCTTTTGACTTTTCTTTGGCCCTTTTGACTTTTCCAGTTTTGGCCTTTGGCCCTTTTGACCTGTTCCCATTGAGTACTGGAAATATCTGCAGTGATGTCCTTACTGCACAATTTACATGAAGTTGGATGATGATATCGCCTTTCTAGCATTATAATACCCTATAACCTTCTGTCACAATCGCTTTGTTTTGGAAATGATGACAACACATTCTCTCTTAAATTTACCATGTTCGCCGAGAATCAAAATCTTGCTCAAAAAGTAGAAATAAGAAATCGACTTAATGAATTCTTTTGGATCAGAGTTCGTCAGGAGTCTTATGTGAAAGTAGTTGACACATCAGAGCAATCGATGCATTCGCAGGGGTGCCAGTCAAATCGCCCCAGGTTTGGTCAAATTGCCCCAGGGGCCAATAAACATATTATACAAACATTTCATTTTATTCTTGTAATTCTTTACAATAAACATTAATAACGTGCAAATAATAAATATTACAGTGTTGTCTATACAGGAATATTACTTTTGCTCTTATCAGTTTACTAATGGAACATTCATCAGAAATAGTACTACATAATATTATGTGAAGAATATAATATCGACATTTACACAAACTATGCATTTATGGCATATATTTAATCATTTTGAATAAATTGGGGCATTTTGATTACCCCCTTGGGGCAATTTGACCAAACCTGGGGCAATTTGACCAAAAGTGCTGGGGCATTTTCTAGCTGTGGCGATTTGACTGGTACCCCGAATTCGCAGTACACAAATCAGAAAGCTGTTATACATGACCAATACTGTTTCTAAGAGAAGCGAACCTGTGTCTTCTCCAAGGAAATTGTATGATTTAATTAAATCTTACATCTTATTGTATTTTTTTCATTGTTTAGATGTATTTTTTTCATTTGTTCAGCGGTAGCTTGAACCAAGATTTGATTTTATTGTGATTGAAATTACCCAATAGCATACGATGTTTTATGAAATTGATCAGCATTGGGGTTTATTTGTGTTTGGTATCTTATCTATTTTGGTTTCTCAATAGTCAAACGATTATTTTCAACCGAAACATTAAAATATATTTTGCGGTTTTGTTAAATGAACCAAAATACCATTCATAGGTCAAATGTGTTTACTAGCAAAATTATAGATTAAAACGTAAATCATGATCCGGCTTATTTTGATATGTTCTTTTATATTTTACTGACAGGGAGTACTCCATTTTATAGTGCATCAATTCACCACATTAACAAAAAGTCATTTCAAGAACCGCTTTATTATAATATAATATATTATATCATAACTTGTTGTAATAAAACGTATTGATTTTTATTTCCATTTGAAATATAAATGGGTATAAAATGACATGGAGTTTTACTGATATGTGATGAACGCTATGCTCCCGATTCCTTTTCAAAATGGCGGGCAAAAGAAAATATCGTGATTTGGTAAGTGTCAAAACAATGTTATTTACCTATAAAACTGATATGTCTTGCAAAAGCTATATATACGTTTGAGCACATGCATTATATAGGTACATGTTGTATCATTTTACGCTGCCAATTTCGTTATTACTCTTTAAAGTGTCGAAAATAACTTTCAGTGGTGTCGCGGCCCGGTCTTCTTGAGTTCTTCCTTCAAGTTGTTATTTACTTTCATAATGTTCAGCTCACACATATTTCAGGAGATCAACCCTAATTAGGAAAAAGATTAGCACGCAGGGGGCTAATTGAATCAGCACGACAAAACTAGTATGTAGTTTGTTTAGACACTAGTTATTAGGAAGGCGTTTCCTATTCTCGCGGTACTTACGGATATCGGCTGAAAAAATAACACAAACAATTCTTATCGTATGAATGCTTGTTGTTATTATTAAATGAAGGGCCTTCTCCTCTAACATCTGCATATATCAGCTGCCAGATCCATCAGGTGAATTACCACTCGTGAGCCCGGTGATAAACAATGCCATCCGCCATTGACGAAACGAGGCTTCTCCCATTCTCGCGGTATTACCAGGAAATAAGGTTATTGAGTGTATGTAAGAGCAATCCTGCCGGAAAGGGCGAGAAAAAGTAATGATATGTCCAAGTTGGTATAAACTCCCCAATATTCGTGACACTGCAAGATTTTGATCATTCACCGACTTGGTCCACTTCCTAGTTACCAGTCGATGATGTAAACAACCGCTAAGTGTCACACATCGGCGATTTCAGGAGAAAACGTATTTACAGCGAGAATAGGAAACCCGTGAGAATAGGCGACGGACCTATCCTTAAAGCCAAAATTTGCAAACTTCGTTGGAAAGAAACACGATCGCCTATTGTGACGAGCAGGAATAAATATTTGGGAGGTCTATAGATTTCAGAATATTTTTCTGCAATTTTGAGATCCTCCTATGTATCTGGGCACTTAGCCATTAATGATAAACGTCCATCCAAACAACTATCCATTATCGCCACAAATAACAATAAATACCACTTTTCTCATGCCTCCTGATATGGGGTGAGCTGAACTTGTTCACATTAGCCTTAAACCCCGTGTGTGTGTGTGTGTGTGTGTGTGTGTGTGTGTGTGTGTGTGTGTGTGTGTGTGTGTGTGTGTGTGTGTGTGTGCGTGTGTGTGTGTGTGCTTGTGCTGCGTCGTGCAAGCGTCGTGTGTGTGTGTGTGTGTGTGCTCGTGCGTGCAGTGTGTGTGTGTGTGTGTGTGGACATCAGTTGACCAGGCTCATAGTAGATGCCACACATTGTATTTTGGATCTATTTCTTTAGTAAGCCCAGTATGTCTTTTCTTCATGTCAAGGCTGGGTAAAACAACATGACCATCTAGGTCTTGGTCTCATTTAGTATATGTACCCCAGATATATGTGACCCAAGTCTATTCTAATTTTCTGTTAACATTGTTACAGAGATATCTCTTTATGAGAGGTTTGATACAACGCGAGAGATGGCAGAGAACAAGACAGTATTTGAAGTCAGCTGCTGAATGTACATCAAGAGCTATTGTCTCACTCGAACTAGCAGACAGTCCCATCAAGTCAGTGTCTCAAGCCAAGACCTTAGAAGGGGTAAGAAAACATGATTCTTGGGGTGTAATGATACACATTATCTTCTCTATGATGATGTACTATGATTAAAGATCACATATACTCTAGGGGGGTACACATACATATATCACTAATTGGCATCGTTATAAATGAAACCCCGTCATTAAAACTACTCATTTCGATCTTTAAATAACTTAAATCAACCTTTTTGACAACAGTGCTCAATTCTGACCCGCGTAGAAATTTCAACCAATCAGAGGGGCGTGTCTCTGTGACGTCATATGAGGAATGGATATGAGGGCAGATGTAGAATTCCTGTACATTTCAGGGGGTAAATTATCTTGTTTACAGGTTTGTATAAACCTGAAATCGTGACAAGTGTTGTGAAAAATGAAAGCTATATGTTCTCACAATCTACTGTCATTTAATTTTGTCTCCTGCTTTGCCTAGTTTCCAAGTTATAACTTGTTTTCATAGATGATTCTGTCAAAATCACTTGGTGTTGCTAGGCCTTATTTGTTCGAGCCAGACGCTAGTAATAGTGAAAACGATGATCAGCCTCGCTCATCACGGTTACGGTTAATTTCTTCAACTTAAACAGTGCGACATTAAGAAGGGTGGATGCCCATCAGATGCAGTTATTTGAAAATATCCCCGGTAGTTCTTGTCTGATTGTAATAAATCTAGGTACAAACTAGGTGCAAACTAGGCAAACTCCAAGCAAATCCTAGCAAACTTTTAGCAAACTCTAGCAAACTTCTTGCAAACTTCTAGCAAACTCCAAGCAAAACCTAGCAAACTTCTAGCAAACCCTAGCAAACTTCTTGCAAACTTCTAGTAAACTCTAGCAAACCCTAGCAAACTTCTTGCAAACTTCTAGCAAACTCTAGGATTTGCTTGGAGTTTGCCTAGTATGCACCTAGTTTGTACCTATGACAATGATGTAGATATAGAGTACAAACAAAATGCCTCCAAAAAGACAACTATCGCAAGACCACGACTGTGTTGGTCGACATCTTGTCTAGAGCAGACAAGGAAGACGACAACGATGAAGAACTCCAGGAGGAAATAGAAGAGGAACAAGAAGAGACCCATCTGGATATCCAGAAAGTGCGACAGATTCTAGAATTGATGCAAAAGTGGACTTACCTTTCGATAGCTGCCATGTTTCTCTGGAAGGCCGTCTACAAGACCTGGAAGTACAGGACCAGTCGACAAACATGCCGACGAGACGAAGACAGCCACACCCCAACCAGTTTCCAAGGTCGGGCACCCCCACTACATGTAGTCGAAAAAAATATATGTGTACGCATAGGAAATATAGTATATAGAACTACATATTTTTGCAGCAATGCATATTGTATACAAAAGACGGAATCCACCCCGCTTCCCATTCAAGGAATTCCGCAATGCCCTAGCAAAAACGAAACCCAGCATGGAATATAATTCCTTGGAAAATCTAGAATGTATTGCCAAGAAAATAGAAACTCCTACCGTACTTGGACATATTTCTCCAGAAACGGCCAAGAAGTGGAAGAACTGGTCTCTCGGTAGTTTGTATCCAGTAGCCCATTGTGGGAAGATTTTGTTCTGCATTTCTACTGGCCATGTTGTCTTGTAGACCTTGCAATTTCTAGCATGCAGAGTCTATCGTTCTTTTTCTGTGGTGTTCTTTTTGGTTTGCCAATGGAGCAGGGAATCGGAGATTGGCTGTTTCGAAGAGCGTCGTGTCCTCCAAGCCGCTTGATTTCTTTTTCTAGATAGAATCCACACACAGGTACATCTTCGTCTGTTGTCTCCAGCCCATCTGCAATTGGAACCAGCCACAGTATGGTTCTCTGGTTTCCACGATAGGTTGCAGAAGCAAATTTCCGACAAATGTTTTCCTCAGGAAGCATATCGAATATACGTGTTGTTTCGTTGGTTTTTGTTGGCTTCGTTTCTTCTATTGCCTTTTGTTGTAGTCTTTCGAGATCTTGCACTGCAGATTCCACAGCAATTGTTCGGCGAACAGATTCTTCCATAGCATCTGGCAGCGATACGACAGACACTGGATTCCAATAGATCGGAACACCTTTTTCTTTTTTGAAACTCCTGCTAGGCTCTACGCAGAAAGAAATTGTTCCATTGGGAGTCCAATACATAGATTGTCCCCAACTATCACATTTCTCTTCCGCAAACTTGTTGCATGCGGAGAGAATTCGTTCTAGACCTTTGTTTGCCCAAACTGCTATTGGTTCGCTGGAGTCGCTTTCGTTTTCCTCTCTCCTTCTTTGCACAACTACTCTATAGGAAATCTTGCTGGAGTCCCATTTGGATTTCTGTATACGCCATCCGAGAACAGAACAGGGTTTTGCCGAAAGGCAAGACAGGCGGATTGTGCTGGGAAGGGAGGGACCGTTTTTGGCCATTTCCTGTGCTTTTTTCAAAATCTCTGCATAGCGCTTTTTGGTGGCAACGATCTCTTCGAGGTGATGGACTTCCTCCGTTCGTTTTTCTTCGTTCTGTTTGTAGTCCTCTCGCATCGTCTCTAGACGATGCCATGCATCTCTACGCCATTCTTCTGCATTGGCAGCATGCAAAATCTCTTCCAGTCGTCTTTCGCGATCTCTCGTCGACCCGCATAGTATAGTACGACCTACTACGATTTCCGGTACTTCCTCTATCTAGTATTTCGATTTTTCTATGCCGATGGCATTTTTGGTCTTTCTTTCACGCCATTCAAAAGCGACTAGTTTGTTCGGGATAGTATCGTATCTAGATTTGGACCTTGGGGGTGTAGCTGTGTCGGCCTACAACTTCGAGATAGTATAGTTCTCGTATGGGGAGCTTTTGTATAGCATCGTAGTGGTCCTATTTCTACTCCTGTAGGTGTAGCAGCCAAATGTCTACTCGAAACAGAGGACATGCCCGGAATCCGAAATCGGCTGTAGCCCATTCTATGGCGCAGTTCCATCTAACATCGTCTTCTACATTGGCTTTGGTGGGTTGTACTTGGATTCCAGATACTCTTCCCGTGCCCATGTGCGCAGCCCATATTTTCGTATGTTGCTTCGACTGCCATTATTCTGGAAGTACAGATAGGTTGCTGTATACATGCCTGGGAACCAAATGTCTAAATGGAAATCTCGAAATGTTAGGCTTTTTGGTTCCATTGCATTGGGGTTGCCGAAACTCATGGTACCCTACAGATTTTAAAGGCTTCTATAAAGGAAACTCCAATCGGCATGTCGAGATCTAGTCAGTAGTTGATTTGTGGTTGCTGAAAAAATGGGTTGCCCTAGCGAAACCCATCTTATCATAGACACTTTAACGGGTCTAGGCTGGCGAGCTCAGCTGTACATCGAATGATGTCTCTGCTCGAAAATCACTATTTTATACTAGGCGCTGGGAGCGGAATTACGTAGAAATAAGCCTATAAGGTGCCCTGTAATAGAACCATCATTATATAACTACTCAACATTATAAACATCGATCAAAGGATTAACCGATAACACGCTGATTGATTAATTACTTTTATCTTGCACAGAGGATTTGTCAAAAGGTAGTGTTTATGTATGTAGATTTACTAATCTATACTGAATACACTCTGTCTAAACTAATTAGTATTATAAGACAAAATATAAAGACGTACGCAGATCGATGCTCATGCTGTTGATCACTGGATTGTCTGGTCCAAAGTCGATTATTTATAGACCTCCGCCATATAGCTGGAATATTGCTGAGTGCAGCGTAAAACTAAACTCACTCACTCACCCAGAGTAGAAAATGTTCCCAATACCTCATGCTGGTCAAGAGAGATGACAAAAAATAAGGATAGTTAGTCACAAGAGATTCCTATAATTAGAGGCCATATAAATAATTATATGGTCAATGCTGTAATACAGAGTTCATTGATTTCAGATTGGAGGTGAGACATTGCAACGTTTGAAGGAGATCCAGGAGAAGAAGGAGAAGTCCATGGACCGTCCTAATGATGGGAAGTTTGTCAGTTCCGCTGGGGCCATCCTTGTATCCCTGCTTGATCTCGTTGAGCAGGTGGAGAGATCAGGGTGAGTAGAATAGTGAAGCTACATTCTACAGCGATATTGTACAATTCTGATTGCTTTACTTCAAGTATCAAATCCACTTAATTATTACAAGAGGTATCAAGTGGTTTAGTACAGGTATTGACTCGTGAAGATCTGGGTTAGAATTGGTCTTCAGCAACCCATGCTTGTTGTAAGAGGCAACTAGGGGATTGGGTGGTCAGGCTCACTGATTTACTAGACACATGTCATCTGTTCCTAATTGTGCAGATCGATGCTCATGCTGTTGATCACTGGATTGTGTGGTCCAGACAATTATTTACAGACCGCTGCCATATAGCTGGAATATTGCTGAATGCGGCGTAAAACTAAACTCACTCACTTAACTGTTCAAAGCGAACTTACTAAATCATTTTGCATTTCCAGGAGCGATGATGTGGCACTGATTCCTGAAGAGGTTCTCAAGTGTGAGACCAAGTCCCTTTGTGAGGAGATCTTCCTTGGAGATGACACAGGTTTGACCCTCTTAGCACCACCCTGGACATGTATAACACGGGTTTGACCTTCTTAGCACCACCCTGGACATGTATAACACGGGTTTGACCCTCTTAGCACCACCATGGACATGTATAACACAGGTTTGACCCTCTTAGCACCACCATGGACATGTATAACACAGGTTTGACCCTCTTAGCACCATCCTGGACATGTATAACACAGGTTTGACCCTCTTAGCACCACCCTGGACATGTATAACACGGGTTTGACCCTCTTAGCACCACCCTGGACATGTATAACACGGGTTTGACCCTCTTAGCACCACCCTGGACATGTATAACATGGGTTTGACCCTCTTAGCACCGACCTAGACATGTATAACACGGGTTTGACCCTCTTAGCACCACCCTGGACATGTATAACACGGGTTTGACCCTCTTAGCACCACCCTGGACATGTATAACACGGGTTTGACCCTCTTAGCACCACCCTGGACATGTATAACACGGGTTTGACACTCTTAGCACCGTCCTGGACATGTATAACACGGGTTTGACCCTCTTAGCACCACCCTGGACATGTATAACACGAGTTTGACCCTCTTAGCACCACCCTGGACATGTATAACACGGGTTTGACCTCTTAGCACCACCCTGTACATGGGTTTGACCTCTTAGCACCACCCTGGACATGTATAACACGGGTTTGACCTCTTAGCACCACCCTGGACATGTATAACACAGGTTTGACCCTCTTAGCACCACCCTGGACATGTATAACACGGGTTGTTTATGTGTGCATTGTGAATGCATTGATTGGTCTGATGTGGCAACTACTTTTGAGGAACTCTGATCCAAAAGAAACAATTAAGTTGGCTTTTGATTTCCTCGTTTTGAGAGAGAGAAATTCAAGGCAGACATTTTAATAAGAGAAAAGATGTCATAATTTGCAAAACAAAGCAATGATGACAAAAGACTGTGGGCATTTATCATGCAAGAAAGGCGATATCCTCATCCAACAAAGCATTGTTGCAAGTGATTCACGATTTTGTTGCCAAGGCTTAAAACTTACCAACTTAATTCATACATAACAGATAATTCAGGTTTTTCGTATGTGTTAAAACTGTTTCTGGTTTCTCCACCATGATACCCGTGAAGGTCCGTGTTAGAATATTGATCTTCAGTAACCAATGCTTGTCGTATAAGGTGACTAACGGGATCGGGTGGTTAGGCTCGCTGACTTGGTCGACACATGTCATCGGTTCCGAATTGTGCAGATCGATGCTCATGCTGTTGATCACTGGATTGTCTGGTCAGACTCAGTTATTTACAGACCGCCGCCATATAGTTGGAATATTGCTGAGTGCGGCATAAAACTAAACTCACTCTTCGGTCACACTCTCCACCATGATATTGCTGGGTAAAACTATAGTCACTCACTCAATGTGTACACACCTGTATTTCAGGATTTTGTCAAGCTTGGTGGCGTGTGGAGGTTCTGATAAAAAGAGGCTTGATCAAGCGAAGACAGCAGCACAAAGAATCTGTGTATCAGCTGATGGAGCTGGGACGACACTCTGCCAACATGTTACGAAGTATGTTCATAAGGTTGTGAAAGAAAAGCAAATCAAATAAAAATACAGGGTTATGATTATTGTAAATGACAAGAAGAAGTTTTACATAGTAACATGTATCCTCTATATCTCCAGGACTGTAAACCTACACCATGGTACTCTCAATCTCTGATGACCTGCCCTTGATTTCTGTTTGCCTGTTGATTGGCTCTCGGTCAAACACACCAATCAGAATGTTTGTTACAAACCAGCTTGGGAGGCCATATGAACAACAAGGCCCACTGATTGTCATCAAGTTCAGAAATTCAGTTTTGAAAAGCTGACTGACACCCAAAAGAAAGCCCTAAAAACCTTGATGGAAAGGATGTCCTTATACCCTCAAAAACTGGCTTTGGATTTGGTTTCTAGGCAGTCTAAGTAAACACAGACTCAGTATTATTCGTTACACTGCTATACAGAGTCTAGCCTTCTACTAGGGTTTGTTAGATTCAGTATAAGCAGTGTAATGAATAAAAACTGAGCCTAAGATTACTAAGACTGGTTTCTAGGTAATACGAGTTACCTCCCTTGCTCAGGGATTTACCTTGATCCCTGGGACTCGTACTCTTAATTTTCACAGGGGTCCTGGACAACAAAATTATATTATTAGTAGTACAGTTATTGTCTTGTGTATCATGATCATCACATTATTTGTTACAGTAATTGAATTGCAAGTGATACCATAACCCAGCTAGTAGCAAACTCTTTGATAACTTATTGTTTCTTGATTGGAATTTTTACAAAAAGTATTTGGACTTTTTCTGCGTCCCTGTGGATGCACTAATAAATGTATCATGATCATCACATTATTTGTTACAGTAATTGAATTGCAAGTGATACCATAACCCAGCTAGTAGCAAACTCTTTGATAACTTATTGTTTCTTGATTGGAATTTTTACAAAAAGTATTTGGACTTTTTCTGCGTCCCTGTGGATGCGCTAATAAATTTTGTTGCGTCCATTGTCAATTTTAATGCGTATAGGATGCAGGAATTCGCGTCCTGTAAATCCCTGCTTGCTACACTAACAATTAATGATAAGATGATGTTCACTGAGATTTGTTGCTGTGATGTATTTACAGGGGACAGGGATGCAGTTTTCCCCAAATCGAAGCCGGTGAAGTCACCCCGTTCATTCCCACCCCAGCAGAAGTCAGCAGTAACCAAGCTACTATCACAGTCTCAGGAAAACTTCCTCTACACTAATGACATTGGTTCTGATGGGTATGATCTCTTACTTAAAGAGAACTCACCAGTACTCCCGAGTTGTCCATATTCTGTGTCCCTTTCCACAAAGCAATCACATCACTAAGATGATCATAACTCCATACTTAACCATTAGCTTACGACAGTCAGCTAAGATCACTTTGTGAAATAGATGCTAGGTCCACAAGATCTTCTGAAATTGTTACTGTTGCTAATATTATAATACAGGACACTTCAGTCTGCCCATTGCTTGCTCCGACTTCCGCTCTCTGTCACTCTGACTCTAACTCGCCGGGGCGTGGGTAGTGGTTATGAGCGCGAAGGTCACGTCAGGTTCGGGTTCCCGACCGCATCATACCAAAGAGCGTTAAAATATGGTACTGGTTGGTCTCTGCCTGATATTGGCATTAATGGTGCACAACAAGGACTGGTCGGCCAGAGTCAGTATAATGTGTCTGAGTGGGGTATTCATGCTTCACTCGCTCACTCATGGTATCTCAGTGGGCTAGCACTATAAAACCAGCTTACTCTGGGCTCAGTACAAGCAGTCACTCATACACCACTCACATACACTCACGCTTGCACGTCCACTCACTCATATGACTCAAATATTCACTCACTCACTCACGTAAAACCCAATTTCACCTCACCTCACTCTGACTCTGTGACTCTGAATCCTTGTAGTGTAGTAGTGTACCCATGCTGATGGGTTGGGCATTTTCTAAGATAGCTGAAGATGATTTACTGCTACGTGTTTGAGAGAGTTTTATTTGTTTCAACTTCAGTATAATCCTGAGGTTGACACACAAGAAATGGGTGGTGACAAAGTGGGTCTGGGTGAGGTAAGTGGTAAGCCCAAAGTACAATCTTACCGTGTTGCTGTCTGGTCAAGTATTGAGAGTATTTCACTGTTTCTGAAACAGCCATTTTTAAGATTTATATTACATACTTTAGCTGTCCAAATGAACAAGGAAGGAGGACGGTGTGATTTTCATTGTGCTGCATGTACTTATTAACAACATGGACAGATTCATGTATACAGGTTACAGAGTTGTGCCCCTTAGGTGTCAGGATCTGCTGAATTATTTGTATCGAATCAATGAGTTGCACAAGTTGTGATTGCTTGTTTTAATCATCATGAAAGCATATCCATATGTGAGCTTGAATTACTGAAAAATGTGAGTGTCTCTTGCTCACATTAATGAAGTGAAACATGTTTTCTCGGCATGTCTTTTTCTTTAGGGTCCGTTCATAATTTGGGGTTGTGATGATGATTTTAAGGGGATCACCCATTTTGTTCTGTGGAGTTGGGGGCAGCAGTTTTGTACACAAAGTACTATGAGGGTCAGCAATTTTGTACATAAAGATATTAAAAGTTATTCTTAAAACTATGGAAGGGGGAGGGGGACATTGATTTTTTTATACATGACAAGCAGGAGGGATCACTTACTTTGTACATAAATTTTAGGGGAGGTCATTCACATTGTACATGCTTCTCTATAGAAATCATCATCACCCCCGCCCACAGCCATAAATTATGAACGGTCACTTACTGTCATGACAAGTTGTCTGTGCATGGATGAAAACAATGACAATTGACATACACAAAAAATGTCACATTAAATGTAGTTGAGTGCTAGATTACGAGTGTTTGCCACTAAAATCAAATCTTGACAGTTTTGTTTGCGCCGGTTGCTGGAGAAGTAAGGGCAGTTTGTTAAATATCTGTTCCCGTCTGCATGTCTCTGTTTTATCATAGTGTTCTCACCAACAGCACTGTAAGCGCTTGGAGCGGGCAGGTGTGCGGTATCGAAGTTGTCGACTAAAGTGTGGTGACTACCGATGGGTGTGGCGATGTGATGGTGGGGAGATGACGATACCGCTTTTGATGGAGAGGAAACGAGCTGGTAGGACGACTCTTCAGAGTCCTGCTAGAATACCTGGAACTGTCAAAACAAATCAGTGTTTTGGCATAGTTCTATAGTGAATACATTCACCTTGCAAAAAGTTTATAATTGCTGCACAGTTCGTGTGTCACTATGTGACTTGATTGTGCATCATCAGATGATCATTGTAAATACAATGTGACCTGATTTGGCATCAGTGTGACCCTATTGTGTGTCATCATGTGACATTATTGTGTGTCAGTATGTGACCTGATTGTGTGTCACCATTTGACCTGATTGTGGCAGTATGTGACCTGATTGTGTCATGTGACCTGATTGTGTTACAATGTGACCTGATTGAGTATCATGTGACCTGATTGTGTGTCATCATGTGATGTGATTGTGAGCCATCATGTGACCTGATTGTGTCACTATGTGGCCTGATTGTGTGTCATGTGAGCTGATTGTGTCACTATGTCACCTAATTAAGTATCATCATGTGACCTCATTGTATGTCATCATGTGACCTCATTGTATGTCACCATGTGACCTGATTGTATGTCACCATGTGACCTGATTGTATGTCACCATGTGACCTGATTGTGTCACCATGTGACCTGATTGTGTCACCATGTGACCTGATTGTGTCACTATGTGATCCGATTTATGTCACCATGTGACCTGATTATGTCTCACTATGTGACCTGATTGTGTGTCACCATGTGACCTGATTATGTGTCACCATGTGATCCGATTGTATGTCACCATGTGACCTGATTGTGTGTCACCATGTGACATGATTGTGTCATCATGTGACCTGATTATGTGTCATCATGTGACCTGATTGTATGTCACCATGTGACATGATTGTGTGTCATGTGACCTGATTGTGTTTCACCATGTGACCTGATTATGTGTCACCATGTGATCCATTATTCATGTCACCATGTGACCTGATTGTGTCACCATCTGACATGATTGTGTGTCACCATGTGACCTGATTGTGTATCACCATGTGGCCTGACTGTGTGTCACTATCCCTGATTGTGTGTTACCATGTGGCCTGATTGTATGTCACCATGTGATCCAATTGTGTATCATCATGTGACCTGATTGTGTATCACCATCTGTCCTGATTGTGTGTCACCATGTGACCTGATTGTGTATCACCATCTGTCCTGATTGTGTGTCACCATGTGACCTGATTGTATGTCACCATGTGACCTGATTGTGTGTCACCATGTGACTTGATTGTGTCACCATATGGCCTGATTGTGTATCACCATGTGACCTGATTGTTTATCACCATGTGACCTGATTGTGTATCACCATGTGGCCTGACTGTGTGTCACCATCTGTCCTGATTGTGTGCTGATTTCTTTGTCTTTGCAACCAGACTGTCACATGTACCATATTATATCTTCACAGGTAATACCAATGTAGACAATAACAAATATGTTTGATAGTGCAACAGACAATCATATCCTTCCCCAGATGACATTGCCAACAGCCTGAAAGATGGTCGCTTCTGGCGCCAGGTGACCAAAATGGTGGAATGGAAGGAGGACTTCAGACAGAAGGACATATCAGCTCGCCTCTCTTGTACATCATAGAGGGGGACCCAGGGGACTACGTCGTCAAGTGTGGAGGAGATGTTTGTCAGGGGTCGGCAAGGTGTGGGGAACCCACTCTGGCTCAAGTACAGGTAAGTCTGTTGCTGGAATACACAGTGTTTTCTGGAATGGAATGCAGTGTTGAGGCCTTTGGGCATGCATGAAACCTGAAATTGTGGGTTCGATCCCATCTCACCAGGATTATGTTTCTCATGTCAGCATCAGACTCTTACTAGTGGTAAACGCTACAGAATATGCAATCCTGATTCAAAATAGTACTATTTCTGTCATATTTATGTCCAGCATAAAACAACAGCATACTGTGATGTTTTGTGTGCTGTGAGATGTTATATTCTTAACGACATCATTTATTGATATTTGTAAGTTCAGACCAAGTTTTTCACTTCACGCCCGAATACCCAGGTTTGATTCCCCACATGGGTACAATGTGTGAAGCCCATTTCTGGTGTCCCCCGCCGTGATATAGCTGGAATATGGTTAAAAGCGGCGTAAAACTGAACTCACACACTCACTCAGACCAAGTTCCACAAAATTCACGTTATGAAATGGCACCACAACCGTTTTAACTCTGAGATGGCTTCATAGAGCATTTTTGACATCTACTGTAACGGTTCCAGTTTCCTACTACATAAATAATGTGATCATTTATCATGTTGATGTTAGCCATGTCTTTACCCAATCCTTCATTAAGTTTGTGTATCACTCACTCACTCCAGCTGGCCATGAAAGACCTGGAGGAGCACCCGGAGTTGGAGGTCCGACACACAAGCTGTGTGGAGGCCACAGTACAGTACCTCGCCGTCACCTCCCAGGAAATACAGAAGAGGTCAGTTTACTAAACATTGGTCTTGTTCAACTCAACCATGCTGGAATTAACTGTCAGAGCTCCAGTACTCTGTCAGTATTATCATTCTTATCATAGGACATTTATATAGCGCACACAGGGCTACAGATAAGGGCCGTATCGGCGTATGTATACACAATACGGTAGGAAATAAGTTAGAAAACGCAGCAGATACGCACCACAGCAATTGTGTACGGTCTTAGAATCATTTACAGACATATTTATCTGAAAAAGTATTGTTTTCTTGTTTATTGACCTGTTTACACAAGAGTAGCAATGCTGTCATGCATATATGAAACGAAGCACAAGTTTAATGATACACCATTAAATTCCATTCAGTACTCTAAATGTACTCTTATTGTTTTCCAGTACTCATATATTGAAACAATAAGGAGTACGTACTCCTGATGTTGAAAAATTATCTGGAGCCCTGGCACAACTAGTACATGCCCGAGGCGCTGGAGTGTTACCTTGATCAACAGATGTCTTTTTTTCTTCTTCTTTTTTCTGGCATTGTGTTAACCAACTCAACTCCCTGGGGAGTACTCTGTCAGTACTATGACAAAGACTTACTGCGTTAGACTCAGACTGGACTCCAGATCCCAGGTCAGAATGAACCTCTGTGCTGGTTACTGGGACCTACACGCTTACCTCAGCTCGGTTGGTTGGTTTGTTGTTTAATGCTGCACTCATCAATATCCCGGCTATATGGCGGCGGTCTGTAAATAATCCAGTCTGGACCAGACAATCCAATGATTAAGAGTGAGTGAGTGGGTTTAGTTTTACGCCACACTCAGCAATATCCCAGCTATATGGCGGCAGTCTGTACATTATCGAGTGTGGACCAGACAATCCAGTGATCAAGAGTGAGTGAGTGGGTTTTAAGCCACACTCAGCAATATTCCAGCTTAATGGCGGCGGTCTGTAAATAATCAAGTCTGGACAAGACAATCCAATGATCAACAGCATGAACGTTGATCTACGCAATTTTGATACAATGACACGTGTCAACCAAGTCAGCGAGCCTGACCACCCAATCCTATTAATCGCCTCTTAAGGCATGCATAGGTGGCTGAAGACCAGTTTCAACCCGATCGTCACGGGTCGACTTAAGTATAGCAGAATACTAACTGATGTGTCACTATACATGGTTATGTAAAACTCCAAGCAATACAGGTGCAAGTGCTGAGTAATCCTTGTCCTGTTGCACTTTTTTGATGTCTGTAACATGTAGATGAAATAGGTAGGACTGCACAGTATTACTGGTATACCCCAATATGCTGTTCAAACAATACATAGTGTATACATATTGTATGGTCCTCAGGGAGTTGAGATTGAAAATATGATGCTCCGTTGAGATTGACATCCTGTGATTGAGGGAAGACAAAGTGCCTTTGAGCAGCTGAGCTGAGCTTGATATTGGCACTATACTAATATATATTATAATATCAATAATATGATGCTCCATTGCGATTGACATCCTGTGATTGAGGGAAGACAAAGTGCCTTTGAGCAGCTGAGCGGAGCTGGATATTGGCACTATACTAATATATATTGTAATATCAATAATATTGAAAAATGTATTCAGAGAACTGGTATATTGGGTTAACAAAGAAGTGACTTTTTGTGATTATCTCGATGCTTAAATTAAATCTGCTTATGCTTAAGTTAAATGTACACAGACTTTCATTTAAAACTAATGTTGTTGGTAACTGACAGAATCACATCCTTTACATACTGTAAATTGCCTAAAAAGAACATAGAACTATCCCACCTAATTATGAGATTGCTGCTTTCAGAACCATAACATTTAATTTTAGGGCTTTAGTATGTAGAAAATAGGCTCTGCATGTACAACACAATTTATTTGCCAATACACAGCCCTAGAAATAGGCCTATGTACAAAGAATTAGGTACTTAAATGTGGACCTAGATAGGTAGCCATGTGAACGTTGTTCCTAATGCTGTATTTGTATTTCAGAGCCAGCAAGGGGGAATATGATATGCTGATAGTGAACAGATTCAGGGAACGTAACGCTCCATCAACCAAACACAACTCGACTGAGGTTGAAGAAAGTGGGATCAAACAAGACAATAACTCTATCAATCATAAACCTCAAACAGAATGCACTGACTTAGTTTTGGAAATAGAAGACGATTCTCAGGAAATCCAGGCAAGAGATAGTCCTATAAATAATATTCCTTGTGACAATCAAGATAGCAAAGAGTTACCTCCCCTTGACCATAATCCCAAGACCCTGTGCTCCAAGAACCATATCAGTTCTTCAGCTTCCAACCCCAGGAATGGTGTATGTGTAAATATTCCCATTGACTCAAAGTCTGCAGTAAATATAAAAGAAAACGACAAGACAATTCACTCCAGGATTCCTGTGGAAGATGAAGTTAATGCTGTGTTTGATATCGATACAGAGTTAGCAATATTCTCATCCTCTTCTGAACATGGAAAGACAAAAAGGATGTTTACAGACAATGAACATGAGACAGATTGTAGCGCATCTAAGAAATTTCTTTCCCCACCATTGAAGAAGTTGAAGTTTAACTGTGGTGCTGATTGTATTGAGATTCCACAGCAAATAAGTCATGTATCGCCATGTCATGGAAAGGTGTACCTCATGAAGAGAAACCGAAAAACTCAAGTCAGTAGGAGATTGTCTGAATGTGACAGAAACAAGGTTGATCCAGTTGAGAGTGAGGCTGAAGCTGCTGCAAGAACCTGTGTTGAACTCTCACCTAGAAGAGCGGATGTATCCTCCAGTCCTGGATGTTCTGGGGTGGAAGCAAATTCTCATTCCTGTGACAGAGAGGAATCTGAAAGTAGGACAGATGATAATATTGGTGAAAAATTAACTGTAAAGATGACTTTTGATAGTAAACTCAGTAATCGTGATCAACAGGGGCCTTCTACAGAACTACCTAGCATAGCCAACTTACCGGGCACTTCGAACATTGCAGACAAAGAGGAATACTCAGGGAAGAGTATTCTGGAGAAAGACATTCTCGCACAACAGTCTGACTCTGATGACAGTCTTCCTGAGGTAGACATTGGTCAGATGAAGGAGTTGCCTGAACTCCCAGAACTGATGCCTCATCCAGTTCCATCAACTTCAGCTGCAGCTGCTGAGATAGCAAGACCTGATTCTAAACACTATGGTGCTCAAGAACTGGACATTGCGGTTCACTCTACCTCTAAAGTTTCAAGCAAACGAGGCAGAAAATCACCTCGTGGTCGCAGAAAACAGTTAATTGATGATGATGATGATGATGATGATGATGAAGCTGTTCAGTCTGTTTCTAGACCTTCGAATAAACGGCGAAGGAAATCTACTCAAAGTCGTAGAAAACAGTTAATGAATGAAGATGTTGATGATGTTGTTGATGATCAAGTTGTCATTGATTTGAATGCTGAGGATGACACAGAATTTTGTGGCCGACGTCAGAGAAAGCGGAGATCAGGTGGGCGGAGCAAAACAGAAAACAGAGTGGATGAGACCCTGGTGTTAAAGGTCGCTGATATCTTACCTCAATGCGGGAAACAACAAATCAAGGCAGCTCTCGTCAAGTGCCAGATGAACGTGGAACAGACAGTGATGGAACTACTTGATGCAGTGCCTCAAGATGGGGATGTGGTAGATCTCACGTGATTAGTCGGGGATGTGGTAGATCTCACGTGATTGGTCAGGGATGTGGTAGATCTCACGTGATTGGTCGGGGATGTGGTAGATTTTACGTGATTGATCGGGGATGTGGTAGATCTCAAGTGATTAGTCGGGGATGTGGTAGATCTCACATGATTGGTCAGGGATGTGGTAGATCTCACGTGATGGGGGGTCTAAACTTAAATGTGAAACCAAGCTTTTCAGTTGAAAAGGAATTATTAGTTTCTGTCAAAATTATATATATTCAGAGACAGCATTAGTCTATGACCATGCTGTGTACAGAAATCGCTATGGATACTGTGCTGTGATGGTATGTGACCAGTCTAGTCAATGATGACTGTGTTCTTTCATGAGTGACTCCAGCTCCCACAACAAACACATGTCTGTACATGCAGGTAGTTAAGTTCACCTGAACTTTCATTCCCAGTGAATTTATGACTTGGAAGGCTATCCATCTCTCTCTGTCTTCTCTGAAACCTCAAGGTTTATAAATCCGAAACTTTGTATGTTATGCAGAAGAGCATATATATTTGTTTTTGATGTTTGCAGTTTTATCCTGCTACAATCTTTGGCCATCACATAGTTTTCAGGTTGTAATAAATTTTCAGTTATAGCTTTGTATATCCTGACCACTTCTCTGCTTTTAACCCCCTGGATGCCACAGGGACATATATGTCCTTCCCCTTCAACACTCAATTTGAAGTCGAATAAAAATCAAAGTATCCCACGCACACAAATACACTTCACAGTTTCGAATTCTGCGGGAAATTTCCTGTTTCTTGATACCATCCACTATTATTTTAGACAAAGCTCAAGTGCTGAAAATGACCTTTCAAAATAGGCTTCATCGAAAATGGCGACATTTTTGACACAGTATGAAATCGCGATTCACAGCGTTATTTGCTGTATGTTTTGAAATGTGAAAATCGGATAATTACTGTGAGTATTGAATTTCAAAAATAACATATTTATGATCACTGATATCAGTTTTACATGATTTCGCTAATTATAATTCTGAAACGCCACCGATGAATCTAGAATCGGTTGGGATGTTTTCGAAACTGCACTTACACTAACACCGTGAGCTCCCGCCATATTGATAGTGTTTACAAAATCACGCTTCGCTAAGGCCGGTATTGAGACGCCTATTACATCATCGTAGATTTCATATTCAGCTTCAAAAATGCATCACTGAATTCCCCATACATTTTAGAATCAATATGAAACTAGTCTGTGTCACCAATAATAACTGTCTAGATAAAATGAGATCTAAACATATTGGGTGTGAAAACTAACGCTGTGCTTGAAAGACTGCGCTTGTGTGAAATGTAAACAAAGACAAATTCGATTTTACACTGCGTAGCATTTTCTGAAATTTTTCAACATTCATCCGTCGATTCATTGCTTGCAATGGCTCAATACCTTTAGAATATACATGGAAAGAGTATCGTAGCAAGAAATAGGAAATTATAAATAGATACAATGCAATGATTTGATAATTCATAAGAAATTGTCAAAGTTTCCGCAGCGTGGACGCCATGACTGACGCCAAATCACGAGAATCGACAACAGTAATTATCTGCATTTCTGTCCTTTTCTCTTACGATAGTGAAAACGATAAAACATATAACAATACACAGATAGTCAGAATCATTCTGATTACTTACATCTCATATTTATGTACAAACGATCCCTGAATCAGTGGAAGGGTCCTCGCGAAAATCCTGTGTACCCTTGTCAGCAAAGCCGCCATTTTGTAAGAAATCGGTCAGCGTAGTGATGTCATACGTCAACATTGTTCTACATATTAGGCAATTTCTTTGAGGTGAAGGTCGGTTGAACAAGAGTAAACACAATCGCCATATCCTTCCAATTACACTGTCAGTATTATGATGTATATTTTATGGATAGTTCGGATACTTTTCATGAAACTGACTTCAGTATCTACATTTAGCCTTGTTCAATATCATATCATACGTGCATATAGGGTTTACGGTGTTTTATTCTTTGAAAGTTTTTGATTGTTTGAATCATATTTACATAAGAAATTGACATATTTATTGCAATACATCATATTCTAAACCTTTACACAAGTGTTAGAAGATCAAACGTAGCCATAACTGCAACTACTTTAGTTCCTATGATGTACAATATTCAATTTATTAGGACTAATATTGCAATTTCATATGAACAGGTTAATGAACGGTGATATAATTCAACCTTATATGCAAAACTGATAATATTAATGACAATGATTTATATATGGTATGAAATGTATATGCACACATATTTAAAGGAATTGTCTTGTTCATTGCATAATTTTGTGTCGCTTTTATAGACAAAAGAATGATGCATATAGATCGGCAAGGTGCTTGGCGTTTGTTGGAAACGCTTTATGATTAAGCTATCATTGTTTTCGATAATATATTCAATTCATATTCGATTAAATAATATTTTGATGACAGGATATCAAACTCTAACTACTTATTATATAGGAAAATTGTTGAAAATATATATATACCATCTCATGTGTTAATTCGGACAAATCTTATATCCATATTCTAATATATAGTTCCATATATGAAAAGCTATCTTTTTGCATCTTTCATTGCATACGTATGAAGAGAAATAGCTTCATAATCATAAACAAACAAAATTCTTATCCCAAACAAAATATTCGGGTGTTGTGAAATATTATTTTTATTTACATTAAATTGATGCCAAACAGGTGCGCTGCGTGTTGTTCACAATAAGATACACTGTCAAACCGTCTAATTGTTGATATATTCAGGACACTATTTAAATGGTAAAATCAGTCATTTCATATTTTGTCTAAAGAGTGTTAAATTCTGACATAGAAGTCTAGACCTTTTATACAATTGATGGAAATTAAGTGAGATATATACTAATCAGCATACCAATGTCGCTCTTTTTCCGACGCCGCAAAATGCATAAAACAAGCGATGACGCCAACTAAAATGTTGTATTATTTTCAGCAATTTCGTTACATTTGAAGATATGGCTAGTACTCTGGTAATAACGATGCAAAATTAGTCAAATTACATCTACACAAACAGGAGAATGTTGGAATCTAAGAACTAACTTATATATCGGATAGGGCCATTCAAATAGCTATTAGGTGCTGTCACATGTAGTACGCTGTCATCTTTTCTTATAAATTGTGAAACTACCAAAGCATCCGCTCACATTGGGGAACTTTGAATTGGAATAGTGTTGTTCACCATGAATATAAAATAACGAAAATATAGCGTCCGTATCCACAACAAATTCTCTCAAGTGATCTGGGTTACATTGACCTAGTGTTACGCATAACGGAGTTATGCCCCTTATCATTATATCGTGTATGACCTCCCTGTCGCCGCTTTGGCCATAGAAGAAAATACATTTTGACATTTATTGGCGAGTCATTTTTAATGTTGAGCGTATAACGTTATGCACAAGCACATAAACACAATTCATATACACTTATGTCGCTCAGATATCAGGCTGTATTTTCTTCGCTCACACTTTCCGTAAAGATGCCCCATTAAAAATTTGTAGCACAGTGCTTTTTATCGGTGCTTGCCGATAAAAAGCGGAGAAATTTACTGTTTTTTAACGCATAACAAAAATTTGGACAACATTTAGCAAGGTCTATTTCTCAAACCGCCATGGTAGTTGCACTTATATTTATACCAACGGATTGGAAATTTAATATTCTTCATTTCTGTGTAAGTTTATAGCCGTACGTAGATCCAGATCCACGCGAGCGCAATTCTCGCACAACGTTCACTTTTCAAAGCGTATGAAAATGTGCGCCTGAAAAAAAACTCGGCAGCCAGGGGGTTAAAGCTTTTGTGTCTAGGACCCCATTTGTAATGGTGTCTCTGGAGAGACAGCATTCTTTTCCAGTCATTCACACGCTCACCACATCAGCTTCTGAACATGTCAGTTTACCATTTCTGCTTGTCATGGAATATTCATGTTGTTTTCTTGTTCACTCTGTCGTTATCTTCTGCACAATCAAATGCAAATATGCTCAAAAATTCAGGTTGACTAAAACATGTAAACACACTTTCTGCTCTAATCAAAATTTTTGAAAATTTTTCTGAACAAATGGTTATAGATTTTAATAAAGTTTGTCAGATACATTATAGAAATTGCATTAATTGCAAGCTGTTTTGAACGCTGAATCACTGTACCATAGCATGTTAACACTTGACACTATGTTGAATTTTGTAACAGTTGATGGTGACACACATGACCAGCAGAGCTTTGTGTTTGTTTGTTTCAAATGTTGTATTATATGGATGGGAATTAAGTATACCTTGTTCAAGAAGCTGTTTAAAAATTGTATTGATCATAAATGGATGCATAGTGCTTGGAAACTTATTTGAAGGCTGAATTTTTTCTTTTCCTGACAAGTTGAAATCATAACTTTATGCCTTTAATTACGCAATGCCATTTAGAAAGTGGCCAAATGTATATTTGGGATTACACTTTCTTAGTAAAGTACAAATTCTAGTACTTTTGTTGGGTTGTGTCCCATCTGGGATTCAAACCCACACCCTCAGAGTCAGGCACCTAATCGCCAGCACACAAAGTCGGCCACCTAACCTGCTCAGCCACCGTGAGCATCAGTTGTCTGACTTCCATTTTTGTGGAAGTCGCGGAGGCTGCCTCTGAGGGTGGATCCGGGGTAGAATAGGTCTTCAGCAACCCATGCTTAACACAAAAGGTGACTAACGGATCGGGTAGTCAGGCTCGCTGACTTGGTTGACACATGTCATCGTATCCCAATTGTGCAGATTGATGCTCATGCTGTTGATCACTGGATGGTCTGGTCCAGACTTGATTATTTGCAGACCGTCACCATATAGCTGGAATATTGCTGAGTGCGGCATAAAACTAAACTCACTCAGTCACTCTGAGGGTTTGGGTTCAAATCCCAGATGGGACACAACCCAACAAAAGTACTAGAATTTGTACTTTACTAAGAAAGTGTAATCCCAAATATAACAGATGTTAATGCCTTGAACAGTTATTGCAGTCTAAGAGAAATATGTCTATTGTTTTTGAGAAAGGGTCCTTGATGCTGGGAGGAATACACAGAATTGTACACTTATCTGTCAACTGTTTGCTGGAGGAGGGTTCACTGAAAGAG